ACATTTCTTATATCTCACTGCTGTGAGCGATGCATGCGTAGGCACAGACTGCCTCGTTTGGACAACATCGTTTACTACGCGGATTTCTCGATGCGCACGACGATGCTGTCCCGTTTAAATTTGCACAGGGTCGACTATTTGCAGCAAGCCGAAGAGTTGGCACAATTCGCACAATCGACGGAGACCAACGTCCGTTTCAAGCAGATCGGTTGTGATGTAGTAAACGTTGTCGGATCAATCAAGGATATCAACAAAGTTGAGATAGTCAAGAAACGGCGTGAAGACCAAGGCCAAAGGAGATGCTACCTCTGTAGACGTACAGGATTCTAAAGGCATCCTGTACTGAAGACAACAAAAAACAAGATGTAGATTTCGTCCTCACAGTACATGATGCAAACAAAGATCAGAACCACGGAACCATCAACTGGGTGCTGGTTAGTAAGTCAGGGCGTCATTTGTTCAGTGCCTTGAGCCTTATGTAGGTCGTGGTTGACTGCAATCATGTGTGTTTTACCGCAGCTTCTGATGGAAGACCTCTTCAGATCACGAAACAAGGAAGTGCAATGATCCGGGTCAAAGCACACGGATTCACTTAGACCATCCACCTTCTCCATGTTTACTACGCCTCCAAATTAGGGCGAAACATCATATCCTTCAAAAAATTGGAGAAGAAGGGATGTGTGCTTGAATATCGTGAAGGAAGACGTATTCTGTTCTCATTTCCTGGTGGTTCACCCGTCATAAATGTCGACTGCATCAACGATGTGTTGGTTGTGAAGGTTTAAAACGACATTTCGACATACAATTTTCGTGTTAATGGCTCACTACTGGAGGAGGTAGTGGCGATGTGAATGGTGATGGAGATGGAAATAAGACGAACGTTCAACATGGAAGATTGCTGCAGTTCCATCGGCGTTAGGGTTACCTATGCTACGACACAATCGTCAAGATAGCCGGTGACCCTGCTTTGGTATATAAAAGACACATGCAAGGGGGGTTTTCTGCTTGGTCTGTGCAGAAACCAGGCAGACAAAGAACCGACAATCTCGCAAGGACAGTGGTACAATTCGTCAATCGAAGTAAAAGGAGGAGTCATTTGTTCTGATTTTAAAGGTCCCAAGCCTCCTCAAGATCGGCTCGGTAACAGATACCTGATCAACTTTATCGGTCATCAGTCCAACTATTACCGGGTCTTCTTGGCGAAAACGAAACATGTTGCCGCGATTATATATGAGCACTTCCGGTTGGTTTTTGAGCAACGCTTTATTTGTCGAATCTATGTCTTTTTCACGGACGGAGAGGGGGGATACAAGCCTTTGGATGTGGTCTGCAAAGGCACTGGTGTCCCTCGCCAAATTAGCGAGGGTGATAACCAGGCCAGCAATGGCAAAGCCGAAGTATGCGTCGCACGATTATGATTATGGTGCAAAGCATAGTGTTTGCAAGCGGACTACCTTTGAAGTGTTGGGGTGATGCTGCTATTTGTGCAGCCTAAATTCTTTAACGAATACTGACTGAGGCGAAAGACGGTGGGGTCCCACCGATTGAGCTACTCACCATAAAGAAGCCCAACCTCAGCGACATCGTGGTGTTTAGTTTGACGTGCACAGTTCACTTGCACACAGACAACAATCGCTGAAGGCGCGTAGAAAAGTGGCAATTATGATCGGAACGAGCGATGAGACGAAGGGATACCGTGCCTACCTGCCAAAGGAGCGCGTTGTCGAGGTCACGCAACATGTAAACAACATTGGTACCCTTTACACCATACAAAATGATGAAGCAACAGAAGATCACAATAATGCTGAAGATCAGGAAGAGTTATAAGATGATCACGACGAATGTCCAGCAACGAGTTGCTCATCCGGATGGACGCGTGAACGACATGTGACACGATCGATCAGCAAGAATTCAGATGATTTGAATGATTAAACCAAGAGCAAAGAAGAAGTAGACATTGTCAGCATCGTGACCGATCCAGACCAAAAGAACTACGGTAAGGCTGTGCGGGTCCATCAAAAGACAAGTGACACGTAGCAATGACCGAAGAACTGTTTGCTTTCGAGTTAAATGTAACGAGGAAAGATGATGTTACCACCCGAAAATTCACACGTCTTGTATAACAAGTGGGTGTTCAAGACGGAAGCCGATGCCAATGGAAATGTGGAGTGGTGCAAGACTAGACTGGTGGTATGTGGAAATGAGCAGCTTATCAGGATCGAATACACACCAACTTTTGCTGCAGTCATGAAGCTTGGCACTGTAATTGTCATTCTTGTGCTGTCGCGTCGATAGAACGTACCAGCACGTCACGTTGACGTCACAAACGGATACGACAAGGCAGAGAAGGAGAAGGATCTCGACGTTCACATAAATTTGCCAAGTGGGATGCAAGTGAGTCATTTTTTTGGTGAACACGGAGTCAATCACCCAAAATTACATTGCCTTGCTTTTAAAGAAGCCCCTACACGGGTTGAAACAAGCTTAAAGTTTGTTAGTCAACAATAACACTCGAAGGTGGTTGAACTCGGTTTTAGCCAATGTACGACGGACGTGTGCCTATACGTCAAGATGAACGACAAGGTCATAACGATCGTTGGGGTGTACGTCGAAGACCTTTTAATCACAGGTAATTCAAGTGAAGCTGAAGAGTGGTTTTTCAAGAGCATAGTGTCCCTTGAAATTAAGGATCCAGGCGTCGTCAACAAGTTTCTGGGCTTAAGGATTCTGTTAGATGACAATGTAGATACATTTTGGACCAAGAGGTGATGAATTACGTTTTGCTAAAGGACCATGGACTGGATTCGGCGAATGGTGTTCGAGCTCCTATTGACGAAGACTGCAATGAAGTAGATCCTGAACTTACATAAACATAGATTACGGCAGCTGTAGTTGGACATGCTAGCGTCAAGGCTCTCCAGTCACTCATCGGGAGCCTACTTTGGATTGCGCGCTATACACGAACGGTATCAGCTTTGCGGTACATCGTGCGACAAGGCAGAAACACAAACCAAGCATGAAGGAATGGAAGATGGCTTTAGCGCATTGCAAGGTACCTGAAGAGAACGAAGACGTTGCAGTTGTATATCGACAGTTCAAGCAAATCAGTGGACCCGATCAAGATCGAGAGCTGGAGTGACGAGGACTTTGCAGCAGACAAGTCGGACCGCATGTCGGTCTCAGGATGCGTGTTGACGATGAATGGAGCAGTGGTGTAATGAGCGTGCAAGAAGTAGACTATGGTCTCCCTGAGCACCATGAATGCTGAGTTCATGGCGGCTTCACGGGCAGGACTTGAGCTATTAGGGCTGAAGGTACTATTCGGCGAGCTGAAAATGAAGGTGGTTTAGCCTATGGCGATGTGGATGGACTATCAAGCCGACATCGAGCAACTTAACAGCGAGAAGAGTACGTCAAGCGCGAAGCACGTTGGCATTCGTTTTAAATTCATCTGTCACTACGTTCAAGCCAAGATAGTCAAGCCAAGTTATGTCAAGTCTGGAGAATTGATTGCAGACCTATTGACGAAGGCACTGCAAGCGCCGCGGATTGTGGACTTACGCGAGATGTTTGAGTTGAAGGCTCCAAGATGACTTCGAGGAGGAGTGTTAGAATATGCTCTTTCTGACAGGTCAAGAAGATTCTGGAGGTCAACTTCAAGACCTAGTACAGGTAAGTCCGACATCACCTGATTGGCTAATGATGTGTCAAATGGCAGATGGGACGGAAGAGACGGGTGCCATGTGACGGGGCGACACATGGTACCAAGCGTGACGGACGTCATGTGACAGGATGTCAAATGGTACAGGGAGAGACTGTCACCACATGAGACTTGACATGGTCAAGTTGTAATTTCCGCTTCTGGTCATGCATATCGTAGTGTTGAAGGCTAGTAAGTTCTTAACACACAATACATTCACCTTTGCTTCTACCTAATTTACACCAAGTCCACTACATCATGAATTTACCGCAAACTGCTGTTGTTGAGCCTCCCGATGCACAGTAAAGGGTCCTCTAGCTTATATCAATCTCATGGTAGTGGGCGGTCTACTTGCGGACTCGTGCATAACTCAATCGCACAAAACTTCCATAAACTCCATCAGCTTTGCAAATGCAGCAGCAAGGTAAGAGCTCAGGTGTGTGTGAGTTAGCAGTCCACATGTACCTTGCCGGATCGTGTATCTCGCCGGTCGCTACATACGGTCTTTTTTGGACTGCGCAAGCGTGAGTGGCGACCGCTTCGCGTCATCAATTGATTTTTGCCTCCTCAATATCATCCATTAACACTTCGGAACGGCACTGAGTCTACGGAAGGTTGAAGGCATGCGATGCTGGCCACTGTACCACAGCGATGTCAATGAGCCGATCTCGCCTAGTCGTGAAATGGCGTGCTTCTTAAGCTATGTTTATACTCTCATCTTCGGCACGGATCTTGATTGTAACAGGGCACCCTGAAGCTTGTACTGGTGACAGTACAAGGTACTTATTCTGATGACAGAATTAGGCGGTGCCTCAAAACTTCACGTACACTCGTAACGTGCAGAGTAAGACGGTAAGAGGAAGCGAGTACTTGGTTAGAGTAAAAAGTAGAACTGTATTTATAATAGTTAATGTATGTTAATAAACCACTGTTTATCCTCATCTAACTATGTCTAAATACAAATGTGTATATCAACTATCTGCTCACCACTCATTACGTGCGTCTGTCGTGGCGTGTCTTCGTTGGTTGATATAAAGGCCCATATCAACCAATTAGGAACTACTCGCAAGTGCTACAGAATACTTGTCCTTTTGACAATAATTCTGAGAATGTAACGCTTGCAGTTACATTCAATAATAATTTCTCATAAATTGTTATGTGACGATTCACCCCGTTACATGACCCCCCTCTAACCATCATTCACTTTAGTGACTGATTGACTAAATGCATACTCGTCCCAAATCATTTGGGATGGGGTTCGCACTTGTTGGTCCGAGTCCACTTTCCAACATCTCGTCGCATGGTTAACAAGCCTATGCGATGCGCGAGCAAGGCCGCCGAGAGCGCGTCTGCACGTCTCTGTGCGGACGCCGAAGCAGAAACCACAGCAACTGATGTCTCATCGGTTGCTGAAGCGACCCAGCCTGTGTCACTTGGTGATGCAGGCGCTGGTCATGAAGACACTCATGTCTTCACAGAGTATGAGCCCGGTGTCTCCTACTCTCCTGATACGGAAGACGGATCCGTATCGACGGCGATCGAATCCAAGCCGCCTGCCAAGCGTGGCATGGATGATGCTATGCGTCATAGCATCTTTGGTTCATCTGATGAATCAGATGAACCATCGCTGAAGCGAAGGCGGTTGAGGTCGCGAGACTCGGGCGCTAACAGTGGTGTCGGTTCTCCTGTGGACACCACTTCGCAACGAGGTGCCAGTCCTTCTGTCGGCACGTCGCAGGAAGAGCGGGACCGCAATGTCTTGCGTCTCGCTCCCAAAAAGAAGGCATGGCTGCCTCCGAAAGTCGGTCATGGATCGCTTGTCGGCGACGACGAGTGATCGCTATCGAACACGATTGTTCGATTCTTCAAGGATCCATCACCTTGACCCCAGCGCGAAGAACTATCGCGCTGAACACGAATTCTTCATCGATTCTTTCTTCAAACATTGATGGTACAGTGGGAATCACAAACGTGATGGTCCCTCACTCCTTTAAGCGTGGAACGCCTACATCCATAACCTTGAGGATGTAGGTCGCACCGTTTGGAGTGACAAACTTATCAAAGCTTGTGATAAGTTTGAAAAGCGAACCTCGACAGGTGCACGCTACAAGCTGCATCGTCTGTCAAGGGAGAAAGGATAACCATGCCTCTCTTGGGGAGACTCGTGCCCATGTTGTGTGAACAACTCTACACGAGCACCTAAGGAGGCTTACCTCCCTAATAGCCCGCGGTGGCGCGTACGTATCTCTAGTGAGATGTACGAAAGGATTGACAACCTGAAATCCCTTTACGACCGTGCCGGGAAGACTTTCTCCGGCGGTCCTTCTGCGGCACAGGATGTACCGCGTCGTACTGCTCAACCAGACCCAGAACGTCAATCATCAGTTGGGAGTAGGGATCCCAAGTATCCCAGGACGGGGGATAGCCGTGCCACCGGACGAGATAACTCGTCCGACGTCCGTTCACGTCGCGGTGGTTCAACAGCTGCTCAACTAGATAGCGCTGGCCACCGCGAGAGTCCTCTAATGGAGGTGGAGGAGGAGGAAAGACGCTCTCCACACGATCATGTGGATCGGTGTGTTCCCGAGAGCTTCTTTGATCGCGTAACGCAAGGGTTACGCAACGATCTCGAACATGAGCGGGACAGGCGCCTTCAGCTGGCGGACAATGTCTCGAATCATCGAGCTGAGTTTGCCTTTGCTCAGCTTGAGAACGAGAGAGCTCTAACATCTCTGCGTGACGAGCTAAGGGTAGCTCGTGGGGATGTTGATCGGTCTCGGGATGAGATAACTGCTCTTCAGACCCTTGTCGATGCCCACCATCGGGAGCACAAGGCTCTCTGTGAGATGCTTGAGCGCAAGGGCGTTCTTCATCGGAAGAAGCAGCGTACTGATGGTACGGCTTAAGCCGACCAACGTAAAACGTATAATGCGTTCGCATCTTACGTGGCAGTTCGATCGTGTATGCATTGCCTAGGCGGTGCAATACACGAAATGAGCCAATGTACTTGGGTAGTAGTTTACGACTACCCAAGTTAGTCACTACACGCTTTGGTAGGTTAACCGTAGACAGTAGGACTAAGTCACCTTTATTGAATAAAAGAGTGTTTGCCCTTCCATTCTTGTCAGCGTTTTGCTTTTGCTTATCCACCGCTTCGGCGATGGAGTCTTGCACAAAACGGACTACCGTTTCACGAGCCAGTATGAACTCATCTGATGACTCGTTAGCCTCAGTGTGCTGTGAGTGCACTGCAGCGACATCAACCTTTTCTTCAGTGAGGGCTTCCGCACTCTTACTGGCATCATCTTCTTCGATATCGATGTTATCGATATCGGCATCAAACGCAATGACTTCTTCGTCAGGGCGTGATGAGCGTGAACCAAATCGGTTTTTGCTCGCGCGAGTCCTTCCCCCCTTACACTAGAGTTACACTCTAGTAAGGTGGGTACACGCGGATGGCGCAAGCCATTCACGTAAAACGGTGTAAGTGTCGTGGACGCACGCACCAAGTTGTTAATGGCAAACTCTACCATTGGCAAGAACTCACTCCAATTCTTAAAGGAGTGTACGTATCCTCGAAGTATTTCTTCGAGGACACGATTGGATCGTTCCGTCTGACCATCTGACTCTGGATGATCAGATGTAGACATCTTCAAGCGCGTTTCGAGTGATTTGAACACGGAACGCCAGAAATCAGCTGTGTAGCGTGGATCTCTGTCTGATACGAGTTCACGGGGTAAACCTTGAAGTCAGAAGATGGTGTCGATAAATACACAAGCACAGCCACTTGCCGTGATTGACTCTGGTACAGCCACAAGGTGTACCATTTTGCTGAATCTGTCAACAAATACAAGGATACCCGTATTCCCGCGTGCGTCTTTGGGTAAACCGAAGACGAAATCCATTGAGATGGATTCCCAGCACACAGCCGGAACCGGTTGAGGCTGTAAAGGTGCACGCAGTGAAGGACTTGACTTCAATCGTTTACAGACTTTGTATGCGCGAACATAATTTCGCACAAACTGATACTGGCGGGGCCAGTAAAAGTCTCGACTTACCGTGAGATACGTTTTCTCCCGGCCACGATGTCCTCCTATAGGAGTATCGTGATACTCGGACATGATCCGCAAACGCAGATCAGTATCATCTGGAATGACAACACGTGGTGTGTCACCAGAAACGGCTGTTTAATGCAGTAAACCGTTACGAGTAGTGTATCGATCTGAAACAGATCGATACGCAGACGATAATCGTTTCAACGATTCTCGAGATGGCTGTGAGAGATGTGTCAACAACTTCACAATCTCACCATCTTGGGCGTATGCCCGCCTCACATCATCATACAACGTTGTAGATGAGACTGAGGACGTCATAACCGCAACAGTGACTGTCTCACTGTTGGGTTTCGCGACCGTTTCAAAGTCGGGACGACGTGAGAGTGAATCAGCAACGAAATTAAGTCGTCCCGGTTTGTACTCTACCGTAAAGTTGTATTTTGCAAAGAATGACAACCACCGCGCCATTCGTTGTGAAATGTGCGGGCTGTTTACTGCCGTGCGTAATGACGCATGGTCAGTGTAAACAAGGAAGGGTCTATCTCCTAGTAGATAGACTCTAAACTTCGCGAGTGCATACTTCATGGCAAGGAGTTCCTTGTCATGCACTGGATAGTTCCACTCAGCTGGCTGCAGCTGACGCGACTGATAGCAGACGACGCGTTCAACGCCTTCAAGATCGTACTGCATTAATGCACAGCCGATTGTGAAATCGCTGGCATCACAGACCACGTGAAATAGCCTGTCCTGATCGGCTATTGCTAGGACTGAGTATTGTATCAAGCTCTGCTTGATACCATCAAAGGAGCGCTGACATTCAGCGTTCCATAACCACCTCTCGTTCATTTTCAACAAATGAGAGAGGTGCACAGTCATCTCGGCGTAATTGTGTGACCACTTGTGCAAATACGCCGCTAGCCCAAGGAATTTTCGAAGACCTTTGACATCAACTGGCACAGGCCAGTCGGCGATCGCCTTGATATTTTCGGGATCAGGACGTACACCGTTCTTACCAACGATGCACTCAAGAAGTGGTATTTCGCTTGCTGCAAATATTCACTTCTTGAAGTTTGCATACAATTGATGCTTTCGCATGATTGTAAGAACCTGTCGGACGTGGTACCTGTGAACCTCAACGTCCTACTTTCCATCCATATCCCGACTATAGATGAATGCGTCATCGAAATAACTCGGCGCAAATTCTCTCACTGGTCTCAACAGATGTGAAACACATCTGTCGAACGTGGCAGGGGCATTACTAAGCCCTTGTGTCATTACTAGCCATTTCCAGAGCATGCCGCTAGTCGTGCTAACTGCGGTATAGGGTATATCCCGTTCTCGCATAAGGATTTGATAGAAGCCATCCATCAAATCCATGGACGAAAAGATGGTACTCTTTGACATACCATCAACGATTACTTCCTTCCTCGGTATCGGCGTCTGAGCCGGTACCGTTGCAGCGTTCAATTTGTTGAACGCGTGCACTATCCGCCACCCTCCTGTTGCTTTTCTCACACAGAAGGTCGGAGAGCTATGTACGGAAGTTGATCCTCTCACATGGCCCGCAGCTAAACGATCGGCAAAGAACTTGTCGATCGCAATTACTTGTTCACGAGGCAGTGGCCACTGCTTCATGACACAGTACTTCGAGCCTGGTTTAAGCTCGACTTCGTGTCGAATACCTTTATTCTTCGGTAATTCGCACGGAACAGTTTCAGGGGATACATCCTTGAATTCAACCAAATCTTCATAGAGAGGATTTGTCTTGAGCGATTCCCACGATTGGGAGTCATATCGCTCAATTCGTGTCTTTTCATCTAGGACACTTTCGTCCATAGATGAACTACTGAGAACTCTCTCGTTCTCAGTAAACACTGTTGATGACCTTATGTCGGTTACACACTCGTCGTCAGCGACGAGTAAGCAGATTTGCTTGACTTTGCCACTACGCAGATCACGCAAGAACCTTTTACGTTCGAGCGTTGGCAACTGAGTGATCTCCGAAGTTAACTTCGGAGGCGCACTCAGATCAAGTGTATAAGCGCCTACACTTGATCCGTCATTGACTATGACATTCAATGTCTCTGTCATTTCCTGGGGTCTTATTCCCTCAGGCCTCGAAGGACTTTTTCCTTCGTCTTCCCGGGGACTTATTCCCGCGGGTTTCGGGGAACTTATTTCCGCCGTATTTGTAATCTTGGGACTTGTTCCCTTAACTTCCTCTAGCTGGGGTTGCGCAACCACAGCGAGATCCTGTACGAAAGACTCTCCAGTCGATCTAGGATTATCGTTTCGCTTAACCTGAGCGATCGATCGTTTCTCTTCTAGATGTTCCCCGCTAGGGATCCATCTTTGTCCCAGTCCACCCGACTTGTTCGAGTGGTGGACCTTCAGCGCAGCCTGTGTTTCCTCACAGCCGCCGGAACTTTGCTCCGAAGAGTAACTGTTTGGTACACTAAGGTTTTGTGCAGTCGTACTAACGACCGTACCACAAGTGAGGCCATCGCACTCACTCGTAGTACATCCACACGCTTGTGGACGCTCCAAAACGTTCATCAGATGGCCATCTGATGAACAAGCGGCAGGCATCGTTACTGTTCGATGTTGCCAGTTTACTCGTGGTTCGTACCTTGTGAGCCACGGTATTCCAAGGATGACATCAAATTTGTCATCCGAATCCAATACGATAAAGTCATCGTCATAGTGGGTATCTTCTAGCGCATAGTGAATCTTCACTATACGCTTCATGACGGTTACGGATGCGCCTGTCGCAAGACGTACCGTCATCCTCGTAGGAGGTGTGTCACATTCACTGAATTTAAAGTGACCATCTTCTAGCGATTGGCGTTGCACAAAATTGTTGGATGCCCCACAATCGACTTAAGCTCGAAGGGACAACTTATTCGTCACTTCGAGTTTCAAGGTAATGAGTGCGATCTCATTACCTAGAGCAGCAACGCACAATATTTGTGTGTTGGGAGCAACATTCGTCAAGAGGCCTGCAGATGCTCTTGACGTTGATGGACCAGTAGGGTGCTCCGCACCTACTGATCCTGTCCGTTTTTTTTACGGTCCGTCCCGTTGTTGCGTCTTTGCACCAACAGCGGACCCGCGTCCCTGCCCCTTTCTCATGGGTGGACGGTCACTACGCCCAGTGTTGCGAGACACTGGACGAGGGGCACTACACTCGTAAGCGTAGTGTCCTGTCTTCTGACATCTTTTGCATTTCTGCAACTTCTGGTAGTCTGTAGAGCGAGCCTTCTCGCTCTCTACATCACAGAGTTCCATCGGCTCTGGACCTCCGTTGTCATATCGTCTCGGTTGAAGATATGATGTCGAGCTGGCGCGAGCCTGTCTCAGACTGAAGTCTTCCTGTTCCGCAATGGAAATGGCTTGTTCTAGTGAATCTAGTTCAAGTCGGAACAGGTGGGTCTTGACGGGACCATCCGCAAGACCCTGCATGAAAACCGAAACCAACGTGTGTTCATCAACCGGGTTGGAACTTGTACAACTCGTGAGATGTCGTATATGTTGCGCGTAAGCGTGCACATCACGCTTACCCTGCTTGAGCTTCAAGAGCTCGGTACGAGCTCTGAAATCAGCTCGAGGCGGTTCAAGCGTTTGTCTGAGCCGCGACTTGAAGACTTCCAACGACCCAAACGCATATGGGTCGTGCAACTTGAGCCCCAATGCCCAAGTCTTGGCACGTCCTGCCAGATTTGATTGGGCAAATGCTACTTGCATATCCCCGTCGTCGATGCGACGCGCCCTTATAGCATCGTTCATTTCGATGATCCATCTCAAGAGGGAGTCCTCTTCGACTCCCCTATACTTGTAGATGAAAATCTTCAATGTCTCGGGTCGACGCGAGTGCATCGACTTCTCAGCAGCAGCCTGCTGCTGTCTCAACAGTTCAAACTGTTGAGCACCCTGTTCTCTCAACAACTCTGCTTGTTGAGGACCTTGTTGGTGAAGCAAGGCTACTTTCTCGCGTTCAGCGTCAAGTTCATTTTGAATGAACTTGGCGATAGTAGCATGTTGGGCATCTCTATTGAGATCCTCTAGCATGACGCTAACGGCATGGATGCCCATGGTTAGACCCATTCGTTCAACCGCATCCCATTCGACAGCGCTCAAATGGGAGTAGCCGTCACGCGTAGCGTGAAGGCTTTGGTCATCTACATCATCCAACATATTCATGTTGGATGTGAACGCGGTCCTTGGACGGACTACGAAGTGCTACCAGGTGTAACGGGGCACCCTGAAGCTTGTACTGGTGACAGTACAAGCTACTTATTCTGATGACAGAATAAGGCGGTGCCTCGTATCTTCACGTACACTCGTACGTGCAGAGGAAGACGGTAAGAAGAAGCGAGTACTTGGTTAAAGTAAAAAGTAGAACTGTATTTATCATAGTTAATGTCTGCAATAAATCACTGTTTATCCTCATCTAACTATGTCTGAATACAAATGTGCATGTCAACTATCTGCTCATTGCGTGCGTCTGTCGTGGCGCGTCTTGGCTGGTTGATATAATGGCCTCTATCAACCAATTAGGAACTAGTCGCAAGTGCTACAGAATATTTGTCCTAATGACACTAATTCTGAGAATGCAACTCTTAAAGTTACATTCAATAATAATTTCTCATAAATTGTTATGTAACGATTCACCCCGTTACATTGATAGTCTGCGCCATCTCATTTTCTGGGTAGAACGTCGAGCGTATTATGATCACAGTCCAAAAGATCAAGCGGAACATCGTGAGGAGACAAAAAGGCAATACCACTGATCTGGCAAGCACCACGGTTCGTAGTAAAACCTGACATCGGGACCAGGGTCGTCTCGACGTCGATCGCACGATTTGGGTACGTAAATGCTCGACATTCAGCACGTGAACCTGAAATAGCACGCGTCAGTTCATCAAGATTATCACGAACCCCCACCTAGTTTAATACTCTTCAACATGCACCTCCTCCACAAAGAGTACGCCCGGTACGAGTTCCGCCTCACCCATTTAATGTGCCTGATGACAACCTTGTTGATTTCCGTCCGCAACTTCTCAGGAGTTTGGGCTTCACCATCCAGCCCCATCAGAGACATAAAATCATGTCCGCATTGCGGACGTGCAGTTTTGTTACCCATCAAGGAGCGTAATGTTCTGAATCAGCTTTTCCTTCTTATGGACGTCGCCCATATGGATTGACACATACTCTACTGCTTCCAGATCGTCCTCGGTGGCATAGGCGTTCGAGCAACCAACGTTCGAACACCTATGCATTCTTAACTTCATTTGAGTGGCGTCTCCAACTGCTGCTTCCCCTTCTGCAGTGACTCATAAATACTTGGATAGAGTCTCAGCTACTTGGAGCCTTTTTGTGGTCTTACGACCCACAATCACGTGCGAGATGGTCTTGCCATACTTGCCAAGCAGACTCTCCGACTATCCAGCGTCGTCTCGATCATCTCTTTACTCTCCTTCGCCCGAAGTCCAGTTGCACGACCAAAGTTCTCCATCAAAACCCCCATCCTCTTCGCTTCCAATGAGCAAGCCGCCGACCTCACCATGGGACAGAGTGTCTATTGGTCGAATTCTTGCAAGGTGCGTAGCGCCAGCGCCGTTTACCAGTTCCAGGAGCTCGACAAACGACAAGCCTCACCCTGCCATTTTTTTGGGCTTGACGAGTTCGCCCGTGAGTCTCACCACTCCTCACGTCTTTTTTGGTCCGCAAGACCCGAGCCATGGGCAAGATTGTAACGTTGTCGTCCAGCCCGAGACCATTGACGTGCGTGTGCGACGTGATGCGATGCGCTCCTTGTGGGCGAGTGGGTAAGTTCAGGCTGGATAATGCCGTCAAAGACGTCTTGCGCGTGTATCGAGGCAACATCCGTCTGCCTGCCAGGATGACAGACGTGATCCTGACCGTGTCGACACCGATACAAATAAGTTCATCTTGCAGTATTTGCGACACTTACCATGTTGAGGATAACTCAAGCGTGGCTGCTGCTGTATTGAAGCAGGCGCTGCAGACTTTTGTAGGTGTAGACTGGTCGCTCGATCAGTAAATGAACACCGAGTTCGTGCTCTCTCTGAAGTGCAGTACAGGAGTTATCTACTCCTTGATGTTGATCACGTCACTGTGAGGCGAGTAGACGATAGTGTTGGGCCGAGGTGTAGTTGAAACAGTACTGAGCCGCTGCGTCGTTGTTCGCGACATTGTTCGTTGAGTATCACAGCACAATCCATTCCCAATCCTCTTACCATCCAAGGTTGGTGATCATACAGAACTTAAATCAGTTTTTCAGGTGAATAGCTTACATCAGAGGGCGCCAGAGCTTGCTCCTCTATCTCTTACAGGCAATTACATGCACAGGAGGTATCAGGCTACATCTCACACGGTAAGACGTGTAAGGTGCACCTAGTGTTATTCACAGACACACACGGACAAAAAATAGGTTTCGGAAGTTCGGCATCTACCTTGCGCACGGTCACTAATAGCTTCGGCCTTCGGGCTGGCAGTATTGTAGACTAGCTTGCGGTTTGGTGCTTGTTGCGCAACGATGGACTAACTTTCAATCCTGTTTGATGAGACGTTCGTTTGAAACTTACTGCTGCAAAAGGCAAAGCAAAACTGCCGTCCTGCGAATGGAGAGGCTGCACTTACCGGAAGACAAGCTTGAGGTAGAACGGCAAGCGCGAGACATCGTTCTAGAAGCGGATGGCTGCTGACACACTCTTTGTCAAGATCAGCGTCGTCGACGCGCTGTTGAAATCGCTTGAAAGTGATCGTGTGTGGGCTAACGGTACCTTTTTGCATCGTGGGCAGGTACGACACTCGCCCGATCAGGACTGGTTCAGTTTTTTATCTGTTGTTGTTTCAATGTTTTTGTCCTGGATATGCAACAATTCTCGATGGACGTAGCGTTCCTTTCAGACCGATAGGGCCGAAGTAGTCTTATTCAAGTCCGTCTTAACACTCTCGTTTCGCAGATAGCCGATGGGAAAGGTGTCGAGCACTGAGTGGATACGTGCGAGGCTCAAGATCGGTTCATTACGTAGGTGCGGTCTGTGACCGAGGACCAAACAATGACAATTGCGGCGAGACCGATGAAGAACAGTCGTGCAAGGCAGATCGTGGACAGAGATGTAGAACTAACTCGGGACGCATAGTTTGCTCTGCCACAATGTTGATTTATACGTGGTTGCGGTGATGATTGCATGACAGTCGTTCACGGGACAAGAGCACGGTAGATTGACGAACAAAGGAATCAGTAAAGCGAAGAAAGAATGAAGGCTAATCATTGAAATGCTATGTAACGAAGTATGATTATGGTATCGAACGATAAACCTCTCCTTAGGTAGAGATTGTGTCTAGAGGACAGCTCTTTGCACTCCTCGCTGTGGTCGGGCATAGCATATTGTACCTGGAGGACAGCTCATGCACTCTGCGCTGTTCTCGGGCGTAATGAACGTGTAGTATTCGTGACAACTCTGTCTATTGTTGGTTAACTTTACATGCATTCAAGTTTTTACTTCATGCCAAAACAATCTAAAGAAATTATCTAGTCACTTACGAGCTCCTCGTCCGACTCACGTATTCGCTTTCTCGAGAGCACCAGATGCCCAACTCGCCAGTGCCCTACTCACACATTCGCTTTCTCGGGAGTACCCAATCCGTCAGTATAGGCAGCTTGTTGGAGGTCATCAATTTCGCCTTCTTGATAACTGAACCAATTTTGGCCATCGCTTCTTTCATGCCCTACGCGATCAATTGAGAATCCCTTCGGCCCTTAGGTGATCCACGTAAGCTTTCCACAATGCAAAGCGTGGAGTTCTATTCTTCACATCGCTATGCTGAAGATCTTCATGGAGCTTGAGGTCTGTCCACAAGGCGTCAGGCGTCACGTCGTGGGACATCCAAATTGAGAACAGCTTCTGCTTCATGAACGCAGCGGGAGACAACACCTCCCCTGGAATACCTTTCGACCTGCGGATAATCGACGTCATCTTCCAGGCGTCTTTAGACCTCTCATACGCTTGTAACGCATTAGGTTCGCCCGCGAATAAGTGCCAAAGGACGAGTTGCTCGTCGTCTAGAGCGGAAAAAGACGCGGATGAGGCGACGCAACGCCAAATTGCCCAGAACGTGTGAGATCAGCGAATTCATGCGCGATTGCATTGAGTTTTGAATTCATGACCTGTCTTTCTTCTTCGTCAACAGCGAGAGCCCCTCGCAGATGCCCTCGAACAGATTTCTCGCTTTGCTTCCAACCGGGTGCGCTGGGTTGGTCTAGTTGCTCAGCTTTGTCCATAGCAGCGACCAAGGACGTAGCAAGCAGCACAATAGTAAAGTGGGGACGCATGCTGGGTGTAAGGGAAAAGCTGCACTGTTGGCTTTCGAAGTGAGCGCGGCGGAGACTTGCGTCGTGCTATCGTCTGCTGGCAACCTCGTACGACAGTGAGTACCTCCGGCAGGTCTAAACAATCTCCTTTGATAGACTACCTCTCCCCTTTCTTGGATCCTCCAGTACACAATTGTACATGCATAATGCTTTAGGGTCGTGCTCTATGACACCATTCATCGCCCAGACACACAAAAAATTGTGCCTGCGTGGAAATTATCACTATGCGTCATGATTGCCTTTAACGACAGCGTTTAGCCCTACGTGAATAGCATTTCGGTGGCAGGAGCATCAATGTCGAGGTCGGGATGTGATGTCGTAGGCGTGATTTTCTCGTCGCGTAGAACACAAATGTATTGAACACAAGTGACTAATTGCTGCATGTGGGACGTGAGACGTACTATGAAGCTGCGACCGTGACTGCTGTCGGCTTCGGCTTCAAGATTGGGTTAGTTAGCTGTAATGTTGGCAGCAGACAAGGAGTACTAAAGCGTCAACGAGTTTCGGATTTAGATAAGGATCAACCGACTCTTGTCGTTTTAAGCCATGCAAATCGGTGTACCTGCATGACGGCATGGCCGCGAGTGCGACTTAAAGTACCAACTGTGCTGAGCCTATTTTTTCGGTCTGGATCATCAGTCCGAGAGAAAAGGCCGTGGCGTAAACGTTGTAAAGCCGACGGGGCTGATACCCAAATAGACGCGATTTTTGACGGACTCGGCGGCTCGAGAGCAGTAAAGAGAGTGGATGCCAACTACATTTGCCTTGAGCTAAAGTTTGCTCGATTCGGCCACTGATCTTCGTGCACCTCAGTTCATCACTCTGTCAGGATGTAATTGACATTACCTTTGAAAGATGAAATGATGAGGTCATGTAATCGTCGATAGGGCTTTTCTCGCTCCGACCAAGAAGTAGAGCAATCGCTCTTATCTTCTGCTCCCAGTACCTGTACATCGAAAAGATACTACAATGCTAAGTCGTGCGCCGTCGTCCCTTTGTTCGATACACAAAGTGCTTTATGTCGCAGATGTGGGAGACTGTGCTGCTTCGCTAGAAACCTGCACAAGATTGACCTGTTGAACGAGCGCTCGCACGATCATCGAGACGCTTAACCTTATCATTAATGGTGTATCGTGACGCGTGACGATTACCTCACACAGACACGATGTTTTTTGTGTCTGGGCGATGAGTGGTATCATTGTGCATGACTAAAAGCACCATTTGTGTGCAATTGTGTGCTAGAAGACTGAAGAGAGAGGAGAGGTGGTCAATCAAAGGAGGATGTTTGGACCAGCCCGAGTACCTCGCGGATGGGAACAGAATGGGCGGAAGTCAGTCTTGCCATCTAACCAGAACACCCTTTCTGAGTAGCGAAATTTTCTCGAGACAGGCGACTCGTGGCTTGTAAACTCAGTTGAACGAGATGTCGCGCGCTGCGATTGTAGGCATAAGCGAGCCCACAACAGCGAAACGCCGCCGTGTTATGCCTTTGCAATCGTCAGTGCATTGCATCTTCTGTGTGCCCACGTTCTCGTCTGGTTTGATGCCATCTATATTCCAGGCAGCGACTCGAAATGACGAAAAGCTTGCCATTTGTGGTAGGCACGTGTCCTTACGCATTCGCTGATGCATCAGGTATGTCGCTTCGATCGACTACTACAAGTAAAGGGCACAGTACTACGGTGCAAGTATTCTTTTTGCCGATAGGTGACCCCTGGCGGCGATGCGAGTTGGTCCCAGCCCAAATGAAGAGCTCTTGTTGCCTGCGTGGACCGATGACATGGGATCATCACGAGCTGAGACAGGTACATCATCTATCGCAAAATTTTTAGAAAGAAGAGGTCGCCTCGAAAACATCGAGTGGATAACCTAAAACGTACAGCACATCGTCCCAACGGTGTGCCAGACACGGCTATGGACGGGTGGGAATGCGGCCGCGTTGCACAATCTGCAACGCATAGTTGTACAGACGCAACGTGGAGGCATACCTCCCATAGCCAGATGCGGTCGCGTTGTGCGGTCAGCACCACCATGGTAGTACAGATGCAACGTGGACGAGTGCATCTAACAGCTTCTTGCGGTCACGACACGCGAACATCGGTGAGCCGAAACTGTCATGCGAGGAGAATCCCTCAACGCCCGCATCGAATTGTTCATTAGTTGAGAGGTGAGATATTTTCCGGACGACCAGTCACGATCAGCCACTAGTACACTGGCGCATGTACCATGGCTTAGGACTTTCTGGATACTTCGTACGTAGACACAACTACGCGTCGACCGACAATCTGGACCTCTAAAGATAAGCAGGCTATCCACTTTTCTTTTTTAAAATTTCCCCGTCTCTGATTACGAGTATAGCGCTCTGCGTGTACTTACATATCGAGTTTCGACGAGGATAACGAAGAACCGTGCATGTGAGCGCACAATGGATAGCTGCTCAAACTTACCGCGCAAGAAATAGTCGTTTCACGCGATGCACTCTGCCACTACGGTAGGCGTGCTTGTAGATAGTGGATGTATCGCACTTGATGCAAAAGCGGTGGCAGAACAGATCCAGCATCAACTAATCTCGTTCGCAACGCTACCACACGCATATTTTACATCACTACAACTTGATATGGCCAAGTTGTAGATGGCATCCGTCTCTTCCGTCCATCGTCACATAGTGATCCCTCGTGTGGACCGTATCGCCTCGTCGTATGTGCCAAGTTGTCATCTGGTCGTCTTACAGAAATGGTTGCGACACTACAACAGCCAATCAGGTGAGGTCGCAGCTGTGACACAACTTGCAGCAGAACCTCAAGACCTCGACGATCTGTCACATCGATCTCTTTTAACAGTGCTGTCTTGTCTGTAAATAAAAAATCCTGTCGACTTTTTGCTGTGGTAGCTGAACACGCAGACACTCAAAGCTAGGTCGAATGTGTCACGTGAAGCTACACAGGTACTGTACGTTGTCAGCACCAATCACAATCGCGCGCTCATGGAATCAGGACAACGAGCGTGTGTGTGTGGCTTGGCCGACGATCATGCAAAGGCTGATCGATAGCGCCGACACGTAGCACCTTCAGCATCATGTGACCAGTATACTAGAGTAGATTACGGCAGCGTCTGTAACGGGGCACCCTGAAGCTTGTACTGATGACAGTACAAGCTACTTATTCTGACGATAGAATAAGGCGGTGCCTCGGAACTTCACGTACACTGGTACGTGCAGAGGAAGACGGTAAGAAGAAGCGGGTACTTCGTTTAAGTAAAAAGTAGAACTGTATTTATAATAGTTAATGTCTGTTAGTAAACCTTTGTTTATCTTCATCTAACTATGTCTGAATATAAATGTGTGAATCAGTTATCTGCTCACCACTCATTGCGTGCGTCTGTCGTGGCGCGACTTGGCTGGTTGATATAATGGCCTATATACACCAATTAGGAACTACTCGTAAGTGCTACAGAATATTTGTCCTTATGACAATATTCTGAGAGTATAGCTCTGTAGTTATATTCTATCAACAATTTCTTATAAATTGTTATGTAACGATTCACCCCATTACATCACTTCCCCCTTAACCATCAGTCACTTTAGTGACTAATTGACTTATGGATACTCGTCTTAAATCATTTGTAACAGGGTTTGCACTTGTTGGTCCGTGTCCACAATCCATCAGTTTCATCGCATGGTTAACAAGTCCATGTGTTGCGCGAACAAGGCCGCTGAGAGCGCTTCTGTACGTCTGTGTGCGGACGCCGAAGCAGAAACCACAGCAACTGATGTCTCATCGGTTGCTGAAGCGACTCAGCCGGTGTCACTTGGTGATGCAGGCGCTGGTCATGAATACACTCACGTCTTCACAGAGTACGAGCTCGGAGTCTCGTACTCTCCCGATACGGAAGACGGATCCGTGTCGACGGCGATCGAATCCAAGCCGCCTGCCAAGCCTGGCATGGATGATGCTATGCGTCGCAGCATCTTTAGTTCGTCTGACGAATCAGATGAACCATCGCCAAAGCGCAGGCGCTCGAGGTCGCGAGACTCGGGCGCTCACAGTGGTGTCGGTTCTTCAATGGACACCACTTCACAGCGAGGTGCCAGTACTTCTGTCGGCACGTCGCAGGAAGAGCGGGACCGCAATGTGTTGCGTCTCGCTCCATAATAGAAGGCATGGATGCCTCCGAAATCCGTCATGGATCACTTGTCGGCAACGACGAGTGATCGTTATCGAACACGATTGTTCGATTCGTCAAGGATCCATCACCTTGACCCCAGCGCGAAAAACTATCGCGCTGAACACGAATTCTTCATCGATTCTTTCTTCAAACATTGATGGTACAGTGGGAATCACAAACTTGATGGTCCCTCACTACTTCAGGCGTGGAAATCCTACATCCATAACCTTGAGGATGTAGGTCGTGACGTTTGGAACGACAAACTTATCAAAGCTCGTGATAAGTTTGAAAAGCGAACCCCGACAGGTGCACGCTACAAGCTGCATCGTCTGTCAAGGGAGAAGGGATTACCCTGTCTTTCCTGGGGAGACCCGTGCCCATGTTGTGTGAAAAACTCTGCACGAGCACCTAAGGAGGCTTACCTCCTTACTAGCCCGTGGTGGCGCGTACGTACATCTACTAGGATGTACGAAGGGATTGACAACCTGAAATCCCTTTACGACCGTGCCGGGAAGACTTTCTCCGGCGGTCCTTCTGCGACACAGGATGTACCGCGTCGTACTGCTCAACCAGACCCAGAACGTCAATCATCAGTTGGGAGCGGGGCTCCCAAATATCCCAGGATGGAGGATAGCCGCGCCACCGGACGAGGTAAATCGTCCGACGTCCGTTCACGTCGCGGTGGTTCAACAGCTGCTCAACTAGATAGCGCTGGCCACCGCGAGAGTCCTCTAATGGAGGTGGAAAAGGAGGGAAGACGCTCTCCACACGATCATGGGGGAGCGTGTGTCCACGAGAGTCACTTTAATCGCGTAACGCTTGCGTTTCGCGGCGAACTCAAGCATGAGCGAGGCAGGCGCCTTCAGCTGGCGGACAATGTCTCGAATCATCGAGCTGAGTTTGCCTTTGCTCAGCTCGAGAACGAGCGCGCTCTGACGTCTCTGCGTGAAGAGCTAAGGGTAGCCTGTGGGGATGTTGATCGGTCTCGGGATGAGATATCTGCTCTTCAGACCCTTGTCGATGCCCACCATCGAGAGCACAAGTCTCTCTGTGAGATGCTTGAGCGCAAGGGCGTTCTTCATCGGAAGAAGCAGCGTACTGATGGTACGGCTTAAGCCGACCAACGTAACTCGTAAAATGCGTTCGCATCTTACGTGGAAGTTCGATCGTGTATGCGTTGCCTAGGCGATGCAATACACGAAATGGGCCAATGTACTTGGGTAGTAGTTTACTGCTACCCAAGTTAGTCACTACATGCTTTGGTGATTAACCGTAGACAGTAGGACTAAGTCACCTTCATTGAATAAAAGAGTGTTTGCCCTTCCATTCTTGTCAGCGTTTTGCTTTTGCTTATCCACCGCTTCGGCGATGGAGTCTTGCACAAAACGGACTACCGTTTCACGAGCCAGTATGAACTCATCTGATGACTCGTTAGCCTTAGTGCGCTGTGAGCGCACTGCAGCGACATCAACCTTTTCTTCAGTGAGGGCTTCCGCACTCTCACTGGCATCATCTTCTTCGATATCGATGTTATCGATATCGGCATCAAACGCAATGACTTCTTTGTCAGAGCGTGATGAGCGTGAACCAAATCGGTTTTTGCTCGCGCGAGTCCTTCCCCCCCTTAAACTAGAGTTACACTCTAGTAAGGTGGGTACACGCGGATGGCGCAAGCCATTCACGTAAATGGTGTATGTGTCGTGGACGCATGCACCAAGTTGTTAATGGCAAAAATCTACCATTGGCAAAAACTCAATCCAACTCCAAAAGGAGTGTGCGTATCCTCGAAGTATCTCTTCGAGGATGCGATTGGATCGTTCCGTCTGACCATCTGACTCTGGATGATCAGATGTTGACATCTTCAAGCGCGTTCCGAGTGATTTGAACACGGAGCGCCAGAAATCAACTGTGAAGCTTTGATCTCTTTCTGATACGAGGTCACGGGGGTAACCTTTGAAGTCAGAAGATGGTGTCGATAAATACACAAGCACAGCCACTTGCCGTGACTGACTCTGGTACAGCCACTAGGTGTAACATTTTGCTAAATCTGTCAACAATTACGAGAATACCCGTATTCCCGCGTGCGTCTTTGGGTAACCCGAACACGAAATCCATTGAGATGGATTCCCAGCACTCTGCCGGAACTGGAAGAGGCTGTAAAAATGCATGCAGTGAAGGACTTGACTTCGCTGGTTGACAGACTTCACGTGCGCGAACATACTTTCGCACAAACTGATACTGGCGGGGCCAGTAAAAGTCCCGACTTACCGTGAGATATGTTTTCTCTCGGCCACGATGTCCTCCTATAGGAGTATCGTGATACTCGGACATGATCCGCAAACGCAGATCAGTATCATCTGGAATGACAACACGTGGTGTGTCACCAGAAACGGCTGTTTAATGCAGTAAACCGTTACGAGTAGTGTATCGATCTGATGCAGATCGATACGCAGACGACAATCGTTTCAACGATTCTCGAGATGGCTGTGAGAGATGTGTCAACAACTTCACAATCTCACCATCTTGGGCGTATGCCCGCCTCACATCATCATACAACGTTGTAGATGGGACTGAGGACGTCATAACCGCAACAGTGAATGTCTCACTGTTGGGTTTCGCGACTGTTTCAAACTCGGGACGACGTGAGAGTGCATCAGCGACGACATTAAGTCGTCCTGGTTTGTACTCGACCGTAAAGTTGTATTCTGCAAAGAATGACAACCACCGCGCCATTCGTTGTGAAAGGTGCGGGCTGTTCAGTGCCGTGCGTAAGGACGCATGGTCAGTGTAAACAAGGAAGGGTCTATCTCCTAGTAGATAGACTCTGAACTTCGCGAGTGCATACTTCATGGCAAGGAGTTCCTTGTCATGCACTGGATAGTCCGCTCAGCTGGCTGCAGCTGACGCGACTGATAGCAGACGACGCGTTCAACGCCTTCAAGATCGTACTGCATTAATGCACAGCCGATTGCGAAATCGCTGGCATCACAGACCACATGAAATGGCCTGTCCTGATCGGCTATTGCTAGGACTGGGTATTGTATCAAGCTCTGCTTGATACCATCAAAGGAGCGCTGACATTCAGCGTTCCATAACCACCTCTCGTTCATTTTCAACAAATGAGAGAGGTGCACAGTCATCTCGGCGTAATTGTGTGACCACTTATGCAAATACGCCGCTAGTCCAAGGAATTTTCGAAGACCTTTGACATCAACTGGCACAGGCCAGTCGGTGGTCGCCTTGATCTTTTCGGGATCAGGACGTGCACCGTTCTTACCAACGATTCGCCAAAGAAGTGGTGTTTCACTTGCTGCAAATATTCACTTCTTGAGGTTTGCATACAATTGATGCTTTCGCATGATTGTAAGAACTTGTCGGACGTGGTACCTGTGAACCTCAACGTCCGACTTTCCATCCATAGCTCGACTATGGATGAATGCGTCATCGAAATAACTCGGCGCGAATTCTCTCACTGGTCTCAACAGATGTGAAACACATCTGTTGAACATGGCAGGGGCATTACTGAGCCCTTGTGGCATTACTAGCCATTTCCAGAGCATGCCGCTAGGCGTGCTAACTACGGTATAGGGTACATCCCGTTCCCGCATAAGGATTTGATAGAAGCCATCCATCAAATCCATGGACGAAAAGATGGTACTCTTTGACATACCATCAATGATTACGTCCTTACTCGGTATCGGCGTCTGAGCCGGTACCGTTGCAGCGTTCAATTTGTTGAACGCGTGCACTATCCGCCACCCTCCTGTTGCTTTTCGCACACAGAAGGTCGAAGAGCTATGTGGGGAAGTTGATGCCCTCACATGGCCCGCAGCTAAACGATCGGCATAGAACTTGTCGATCGCAATTACTTGTTCACGAGGCAGTGGCCACTGCTTCATGACACAGTACTTCGAGCCTGGTTTAAGCTCGACTTCGTGTCGAATACCTTTATCCTTCGGTAATTCGCACGGAACAGTTTCAGGGAATACATCCTTGAATTCAATCAAATCTTCATAGAGAGGATCTGTCTTGAGCGATTCCCACGATTGGGAGTCATATCGCTCAATTCGTGTCTTTTCATCTAGGACACTTTCGTCCATAGATGAACTACTGAGAACTCTCTCGTTCTCAGTAAACACTGTTGCTGACCTTATGTCGGTTACACACTCGTCGTCAGCGACGAGTATGCAGATTTGCTTGACTTTGCCACTACGCAGATCACGCAAGAACCTTTTATGTTCGAGCGTTGGCAACTGAGTGATCTCCGAAGTCAACTTCGGAGGCGCACTCAGATCAAGTGTATAAGCGCCTACACTTGATCCGTTATTGACTATGACATTCAATGTCTCTGTCATTTCCTGGGGACTTTTTCCCTCAGGCTTCGAAGGACTTATTCCTTCGTCTTCCCGGGGACTTATTCCCGCGGGTTTCGGGGAACTTATTTCCGCCGTATTTGTAATCTTGGGACTTATTCCCTTTACTTCCTCTAGCTGGGGTTGCGCAACCACAGCGAGATCCTCTACGAAAGACTCTCCAGTCGATCTAGGATTATCGTTTCGCTTAACCTGAGCGATCGATTGTTTCTCTTCTAGATGTTCCCCGCTAGGGATCCATCTTTGTCCCAGTCCACCCGACTTGTTCGAGTGGTGGACCTTCGGCGCAGCCTGTGTTTCCTCACAGCCGCCGGAACTTTGCTCCGAAGTGTAACCGTTTGGTACACTAAGGTTTTGTGCAGTCGTACTAACGACCGTACCACAAGTGAGGCCATCGCACTCACTCGTAGTACATCCACACGCTTGTGGACGCTCCAAAACGTTCATCAGATGGCCATGTGACGAACAAGCGGCAGGCATCGTTACTGTTCGATGCTGCCAGTTTACTCGTGGTTCGTACCTTCTGAGCCACGGTATTCCAAGGATGACATCAAATTTGTCATCCGAATCCAATACGATAAAGTCATCGTCATAGTGGGTATCTTCTAGCGTATAGTGAATCTTCACTATACGCTTATGACGGTTACGGATGCGCCTGTCGCAAGACGTACCTTCATCCTCGTAGGAGGTGTGTCACATTCACTGAACTTGAAGTGAACATCTTCTAGCGATTGGCGTTGCACAAAATTGTTGGATGCTCCACAATCGACTAGAGCCCGAAAGGGCAACTTATTCGTCACTTCGAGTTTCAAGGTAATGAGTGCGATCTCATTACCTAGAGCAGCAACGCACAATATTTGTGTGTTGGGAGCAACATTCGTCAAGAGGCCTGCAGATGCTCTTGACGTTGCTGGACCAGTAGGGTACTCCGCACCTACTGATCTTGCCCGTTTTTTTACGGTCCATCCCGTTGTTGCGTCTTTGCACCAACAGCGGACCCGCGTCCCTGCCCCTTTCTCACGGGTGGACGGTCACTACGCCCAGTGTTGCGAGACACTGGACGAGGGGCACTACACTCGTAAGCGTAGTGTCCTGTCTTCTGACATCTGTTGCATTTCTGCAACTTCTTGTAGTCTGTAGAGCGAGCCTTCTCGCTCTCTACGTAACAGAGTTCCATCGGCTCTGGACCTCCGCTGTCATATCGTCTCGGTTGACGATATGATGTCGAGCTGGCGCGAGCCTGTCTCAGACTGAAGTCTTCCTGCTCCGCAATGGAAATGGCTTGTTCTAGTGAATCTAGCTCAAGCCGGAACAGGTGAGTCTTACGGGACCATCCGCAAGACCCTGCATGAACACCGAAACCAACGTGTGTTCATCAACCGAGTTGGAACTTATGCAACTCGTGAGATGTCGTATATGTTGCGCGTAAGCGTGCACATCACGCTTACCCTGCTTGAGCTTCAAGAGTTTGGTTCGAGCTCTGAACTCAGCTCCAGGCGGTTCAAACGTTTGTCTGAGCCGCTACTTGAAGACTTCCAACGACCCAAACGCATATGGGTCGTGCAACTTGAGCCCCAGTGCCCAAGTCTTGGCACGTCCTGCCAGATTTGACTGGGCAAATGCAACTTGCATATCCCCGTCGTCGATGCGACGCGCCCTTATAGCATCGTTCATTTCGATGATCCATCTCAAGAGGGAGTCCTCTTCGACTCCCCTATACTTGTAGATGAAAATCTTCAATGTCTCGGGTCGACGCGAGTGCATCGACTTCTCAGCAGCAGCCTGCTGCTGTCTCAACAGTTCAAACTGTTGAGCACCCTGTTCTCTCAACAACTCTGCTTGTTGAGAACCTTGTTGGCGAAGCAAGGCTACTTTCTCGCGTTCTGCGTCAAGTTCATTTTGAATGAACTTGGCGATAGTAGCATGTTGGGCATCTCTATTGAGATCCTCTAGCATGACGCTAACAGCATGGATGCCCATGGTTGAACCCATCCGTTCAACCGCATCCCATTCGACATCGCTCAAATGGGAGTAGCCGTCACGCGTAGCGTGAAAGCTTTGGTCATCTTCATCATCTAACATATTCATGTTAGATGTGAACGTGGTCCCTGGACGGACTAATAAGTGCTACCAGGTGTAACGGGGCACCCTCAAGCTTGTGCTGGTGACAGTACAAGCTACTTATTCTGACGATAGAATAAGGCGGTGCCTCGTATCTTCACGTACACTGGTACGTGCAGAGGAAGACGGTAAGAAGAAGCGGGTACTTCGTTTAAGTAAAAAGTAGAACTGTATTTATAATAGTTAATGTCTGTTAGTAAACCTTTGTTTATCCTCATCTAACTATGTCTAAATTCAAATGAGCATTTAAACTATCTGCTCACCACTCATTGCGTGCGTCTGTCGTGGCGCGTCTTGGCTGGTTGATATAATGGCCTATATCAACCAATTAGGAACTACTTGCAAGTGCTACAGAAAATTTGTCCTCTATGACAATATTCTGAGAGTATAGCTCTGTAGTTATATTCTATCAACAATTTCTTATAAATTGTTATGTAACGGTTCGCCCCTTACAGCGTCGATCATACTCATAATATTTTACTGCCTGAATATTCTTACAATACCAAGATATCGTCGTTCAGATCCTAAAATTTACGATGATCTTATAAATTCCAAGAAGAGGACACCACTCGCTAGATGCGTCACATGAAACCTTTGTTTTATTAGAGCCTACGGCCGTACCAAAAGATATTCATGACAACTCCTGCCTCGCCCACCACAGACAAACGCTATAATTCTGGCGCTGTGGATAAGCGGTTCTTGAATCACCCGCGTAATATCAAGATCCAGTTTTCCGCCTATCACCACTGCCTCCTCCTGACATTTGCTTGGCCTGTTGTGCAGATCCGAAGCAACACCGCAGATCTTCATTTGTAGCGGAGCTACTTACCGCTCCTTAACAGAGGAAGTTTTGGACTAACAGATTCTTTTACGTACAACAAACTAACAATAACGTACAGTCGTTCAAGTGTTCGAGCTTATCAATCCTGGTTCCAAATGGGTACGATCCACAGAATCACTCACTAACTTGTCACTACGAGTTAATCAAGAGTAAATGCCTTGGCAATGCTCTTACAACACACTATGCCTTGACCAGGGACTTGTGTCCAACGATTTAAAAGGGGAACTGAGCGTTTTAGATTCTTACCTAAGGTAAAAAACTGAACCTTGTCTGACTGACTTCTACATTGCAATCATTTGACATATGTCTATCTTTTATCCCTGCCCGATAAGGTGCGGCAACACCGTCAGTACGTGGTACCAAGACTGTACCACTCGGATCCACCGATCTTTAGCTTGTGTGGACGCACAACATATCCAATTTATGTAACCGCGTGTAAGCCCGTTACACCCTCCCCCACCAGACTGTCGACACCCTTTTGTCATAAAATCTTCTACTGTTCTTTGAGGTCTCAAAGAGCTGGTCCTTGAGCATCATGTTTACAACACACACACACACCCTCCAAATCACTGAGCTAAACCTTTGTCCAACATCGTTGAGGAATTTTTATAGTGTGCAGTGAGAGTGACACCGTCGCGTCGAGTGTCTATACCACCCTCCAACAACGCCACCGGCGCGTAACACCACGCACATCGCGCCAAATATTTTCGTGGACCGCGAGGAGGTACCTTTACCTCTTGCACAGCGTGCAGCCGGCGACCCTGCGCTTGGTGTATTGCACAACATCTTTGATGAAGATTAAGCTCAATTAATTTAGTCGGGATATGACCGCAGTCGTCAAGCACAATGTGTAGCCAAAGCGTATGCTCATGGTGGTAACAGCTTTACATGACCGATTGTGGATCGATCATGTGAAGCGTCAGACAGCCGGGAAGTCACTTGCAACATGGGTCACGGGACCCAATGCTATCACGGCCACACAACTAGCGGAGGGGGGAGCTCTCAGAGCAAGATACCTGAAGGTCGAGTGTATGATCGTTCAAGATAATCTCGACAGGCTGACTCTGAAAGAACAAGGTGCGTCTGTGTCCGCAATGCGGACAAGTCCTACTGTTTTGTTCCCTGGTGGGACGGAGGCAAAAATAGCGTCGTCTTCGCGCGTTGGGATCACAGAGCTCCCCGTCTACCAAGCTTGTGAAATCTTCAATAGAGTGCTTCACTTGATGACGTTAGGCTCGAACGAAAGATGCGATTAAATTTCGCAAAACTTACTGTCAAGTGCCAGCTTCGGTCGCTCTATCGCACCCGCTATGATGCGGTATCTACAGAACCGCACATCAGTGCACCTGCTGCATCTGCAGCCCCTTCCACTCCTGCATTGAAAAGTAAGAAGCAGCATGGATCGACTGACACTAGAGACGACGTAAAAAACGTTAAAGGCACACGTACAATCCTGCTGCAGTGGCACTTCTTATTTCCATGAGTTCTCCGACTCCGGGTACCCCCACCACTGTACCAGGTACTGGTACTGACCGTCGTGACGACGTAGCTGCAAAATTCTCTCAATACAATACTTTTCATCCCCTCGCTCGATAACGAGAGCAGATGGTTTTCGTTAAATCTCGACGCATCGATGACGAATTAGTGCACGAGGTGCTGAATCTTCGTTACCGAGTTACGCGTCTTAGAGGACATCTGAATCTTCTCTTAAGGATTCCTTGACTTGTAGCAGTTCCAACTCCTTCGGCGTAAGCGCCTTGTGATCTACCCGCGACAGATCATGGTTAAGCTTGAGCAAGCCGACGTAAAAACTAGTTGTGTTCGCGTCTTGCGTGGAAGGCGTGCACGCTAGGTCCTTCTTGTCCACAACCGTAGACGGTCCAATGAAGTGAGGACGCAACTTGATATTACAGACCGCTGACACAATCTCAAGTGGAAGATTCTTAACGTTAAGTAAGACCAGGTTTACAACTTCATAACTCTCAATACACTTTTTGCCTTTGGCATCGGCTTGTTCCTTATGCTTGTCCTAACTATCCGCCATTGCGTCACGTACATGTCTTTAGACATTTAATTACGTAGCAAGAAACTCTCTTATTTGGTTCTGAACAGTCGTTGGACCGACATCAGCAAGCCGATCGACTATTCCTTTTCCACCAATCCCAGAACGTCTCAGTGGAAGCGTAAACGAAAGGCGTGGGTGAGTGAGACCATTTTACGTAAAAATGGAGTTAATCTAGTAGGGACATGAACAGCGTTGTTAAACCCAAAATCGACTACCGGGGGCATCTAGCTCCAACGCCGAGGCGGATCATCACAAACAATGCGCAAAATGTCACCAATGACCAGTTGACACACTCAAATTGACCATCGGTCTGCGGATGATCCGCCGTGGGCATGCACAACCTGGTTCTCAGCACCTTAAAGATGGAAGTCCAAAACTTGCCAGTGAAACGTGGATCAAGATCAGAGACAAAGGACTCATTCGAATCGTGTGGACAAAACACACGGTCGATAT